AGGGTCTTGGGGTTTGCCCAGAACAACAAAGCAATCAAGATGCCATTTCAAGCGTTTGCAATGTCCATTCAGGACGCTGGACTTCTATTAAATACCCTTAGGTGTGGGGGGAAGGGGACGTTACATATGATCTAGATTAGCTGGGCCCTCAGCCGCCAGACTTTACAACTCCCCTGGAGTAAGGTAGGGTGGAGGTGCTTTTTGGAAACTCTAGAGCCAGGAGTCCCACCCCCTAAAAGGATTCAATTGGAATCTCCAGAAATTGTGCTAGGAATTCTATGTAGAGAACAGACCGTTGTCTTTTAATTGGCAAATTTAGTTCGTTGACATTCATTGGGCTGACTGGTCTATGTGGGGTAAATTCTCGGGCTTTGCTAGTGGATTCTCTCTTTGCCCTGTTACTCTAGAGGAGCTTCCATGGATGAGGGCCTCCGGGCTGGGGTTCCCTGCTAAGCCACCATCACATGGGTGGAGAAGGCCTAGCTGAGGCCTGGAGCAGGTGGGGTAGGCGGGAAACAGAGTCCAGAAGTAGCTCTGCATGGAGGTTTGGCAGGGTGGGTGGGGGTTCCATCCTTTGAGGAAATCCCATGTTGCAGGGAGGAGAGTGCCAAGAGCCTTGGGCATGCTTCCGTAGATTACCTAACCGTACGGAGCCCGCCTCGGGGAATGTCTTGAGTGTTCGGGAATTTTAAGTGATGCTGGGGGCAGTGGGAGCTGGTGGCCTCGGAGGTGCTGTTTGGGGAAGGTTGTGGGAGTGGGGGAGAGTGGGGGAGCTTTGATCCTGAGGTCTCACTTGTCTTTAAGGGCGTAGAGACCCTATGGGGACTTTGGCTTCAAAGCCATCAAGGGCAAGAGTGTGACTGACCAAGGAGAGGGAGGTGACCCTGCCTGCGTAGATGCTCAAGAACTCGGAGGAGTTGGGCGCGGTGGCTCACACTTCTCATCCCAGCACTCTGGGAGGCCCAGGCAGGAGGATCGCTTGAGGTCAGGAGTTGGAGACCAGCCTCAGCAAGAGCAAGATCCCGTCTCTATTAAATATAGAAAAAAATTAGCCAGCCGTGGCGATATGCACCCGTAGTCGCAGCTACTCGGGAGGCTGAGGCAGGAGGATCACTTGAGCCCAGGAGTTCGAGGTTGCCTGTGAGCTATGATGATGCCTCGGCACTCTGGCCCAGGTGACAGAGCCAGACTCTGTCTCAAAAAGACAAAAACCTCAGAGGTGACTCTGAGGGCAGTAGGGCATCTGACACAGCTGGCCAAAAGTGCTGGTCCTCCTCCCTGAATCATGGCCATGAGGAAGAAACTGGGGCCCCATCGGTTGACCAACTTCCATTTCTTTCTTTACCCCAGAAGAGAATTGGCTGGAGATGGATTTGGCTTGGGTTGGTCTCTGTGAGCAGCCTGATTTGTTGGAGGTTAGAGTGGATCAGATAAGTTGAGGGCGTGTGGTTGACAAGAGGAGCTGGTGCTTGGGTCTGGAGACAGAACGACCTGTTAGCCCCCGCCCCAAAGCAGACTGAGTTGCGTCCCCCCCCTCCAAATCCATACATTGGAGCCCTGACCCCAGGACCTTTGAATGTGACTGTGTTTGCGGATGGGTCTTTAAAGAGGTGATTAAAGTAAACTGAAGTCACTAGGGTGGGCCCTGATCCAGCAGGACTGGTGTCCTTATGAGCAGAGGAGATGAGGACACAGACACGCACAGAGGGACGACCCCATGAGGACACAGGGAGAAGACGGCGTCTACACGCCCAGGAGAGAGGCCTCAGAAGGAACCAGCCCTGAGACACCTTGATCTGGGACTTCCAGCCTCCAGGACTGTGGGAAAATAGATTTCTGTTGTGTTAGGGTTAGGGTAAGATTAGGGTTAGGGTAGGGTTAGGGTTAGGGTGGCTTGAGCAAACTCATACAGGCTGGGACTAGGCTAGCGTGTGTGTGTTAATGGAGAGAGGGTGACGGGGTAGGGGCTGTGGAAACCTTGTCCAGACTCACTGTTCCCTCTCCTGCTGGTCTCCTGTTCTGGGAAGCTCCATTGCTAAGCTGGCAGGCAGGGGAGCCTGCTATGGTGTGAATGTGTGTGTCCCCCCATGTGTTGAAACCCTCACCCCCAAGGTGGTGGTGTTGGGAGGTGGGGCCTTTGGGAGGGGATGAGGTCCTGAGGGTGGAGCCCCATGGATGGGATCAGGGTCCTTATAAAAGGGACCCCAGAGAGCTCCCTCGCCCCTTCCACCACGTGAGGACACAGCGAGAAGGCGCCGTCTATGAACCAGGAAGTGAGTCCCCACCAAACACAGCCTCTGCCACGCCGGGATCTCGGACTTCCAGCCTCCAGAGCTGTGAGCAACACGCGTCTATTCTGCATACCTGGTTTATGGTGTTTTTGTCCTAGCAGCCCAACTGTTCTGAGACATAGTTCCACCATGCAGTGACCTCCCAGCCCAGAGTCGGGGAGAATCCTGCCAGTCCAGCACAGCTCCCAATCTCAGGGTTCCACCAATCCCCTGGGGCGTTCATGGATAATGCATGATCGCTTGGAGGCAGTTCCAGCGGAAAGCGCAGTTTGTCACTGCATAAATTGGCGGCACAGCCATGACTTACCAACGCCAGTTTTTACCTTTGGGGCCTATGTCCTGTTCTTCTGCAAATCTGTATGACACAGAAACACCTTCTCTTGGGACTTGTACTGTTTCGGGGGCCGGGAGTCTTGACAGAATCCCCCCAAAGCAGGAGGTCCGTTGCTCTCCACTTCCCTGCTGGGCGGGTCGGGTGACCACACAACGGTGCATTTTACCAACTATTTATTGTTCGTTGCTACTTGTTCTTGACTCTTTCTCTTTTAATGGGGTGAAACTCTTCACCTTTATGCAAACGGATGCCTTAACTTCACGGTGAAGGTTTGTTTCGACTTGAGCAAAAAAATGCAGAGATCCGGGCTCCAGCTTTTGCTCGCACACGCCCACTGTCAGTCATCCTCCCCGTGGCACCAGCACAGGGGGAAAGGCCCACAGCAGGGCTGGAGCCAGGGTTTCCAGGTGTTGTGTGGCGTGTCCAGCTGCAGAGGGGCCGGGCGGAGCGCCCGCTGCTGCGCCTCCACCGCCTGCTGGACTCTGCCCACCACCTCGTAGAACAAGGGCTCCGTGGCTGGCGTGAGGACGTGGCTCTCGGAAGGGTCTCTGGAGAGATCAAAGAGCAAAGGTGGATGGTGATGGGTCACTTCCTCCCCGAAGCACGGGCAGACTCCTCTCCCGTAGCAGGCGCTGGCTCCCGCTGGCTGGAACTCCGGAGTCGTGTAGTGGACTTTCCAGACTCTTCCTCCTGGGGGAAGGACAGGAACCCCTGAGAGTTGCCAGAGGGAAATAAAGTGCATTGCTCCAGAGTTATTAGAAATAACTAAAAGGGAGAAGCAACCCAAGTGTCCATGGATGGATGAAAGATAAACAGAATGTCTTCCATCCACACGATGGCATCGTGTTCAGCCAGGAACAGGAATGAAACCCTAATACATGCTACAACATGCATGAACCTTGGAAGCGTGGTGCTCAGGGAAGGTCACGAAAGAGCGTGTGTTGTATGAGTCCATTTACATGGAACATCTAGAGTAGGTAAATCCGTAAGGACAGAAAGTATAATCGACCCAGGTGGTGGGAAGTTAACTGGGGAGGTTTGCGTGGGTGGAGTCTAGGGTGCGGTGCAGGGGCTGGTTTGGGTCCAGGAAATCCGAGAAGGTGATATTTAACTGAGGACGTGAATGTCAACAATGAGCCATCCGCAGGGAGATCCAGTCCACTAAGAGAGTTCCAAGTGGTTGGAACAGCTCGTGCAAAGGCCCTGGGGCAGGAATGGGCTTAGCTTGTCCTCAGAGCACAGGGCGGTTGTAAGGTGCCAGTTATCAGAGCTGATGTTTCAGATACAGGGAAGGGCTAGCTCATGTCCCAGAGAGAAGCGTGGTGTTTTTTTTTTTCTGAAGGGGGGCATTTGTGTGGCTAGTAGTCTTGGGGAGCCACTCAGCAGAGGCAAAGTAGACCCAGGGAGGCGGAACAGGCAATGTTGGAGATACACGGGCAGTAGGAATACACTGCCCGTCTATCTTTCTGCCTTGAAAAAAATTTTTGACATATTCATCCAATGACTGAGAGGAGAGAGATCAGAAATGAGGCAGTCACGGCATAAAAGAACCTAGTGACGGGTCAGGACATGCTACTGAATTCAGAAGTTAAAGAACTTTCCAAGGCAACATCGATAATGTGTAATGTAAGAACCCCGAAATGTAGCAATGAAAATCATCCCTGATTAGAATATTGGGAAGGATGGAAAAGAAGGAGATTTCTTTTAAAAAATCTATAATTCCCTTAAATAAGAGAGATTCTGGAAAGATATCCATTCAGGGATGTGTTGAGACAATGCTTTGGAGAACATTTAAGCGGAGTGAGTCACAAACGGGGTATCGATCTTTGCAAACACAGGAAGAAAAACCACCCCAAGAGCACGAAGGAAAGTCAGGAAGCTTGGGGTGAAAAGCAAATAAGAGAGGGAAATATAAGGGAAGAAAAGAGAGATAGGCAAACTGAATATGGGTGAGATGTTCTGATAGGAACACAAAGACAGAAGCAGACATCATTTGCTCTCTTTAAAATGAAAGGATCCCTGGCCGGGCGCAGTGGCTCACGCCTGTAATCTTAGCTCTCTGGAAGGCCGAGACGGGCAGATCGTTTGAGCTCAGGAGTTCGAGACCAGCCTGAGCAAGAACGAGACCCCGTCTCTACTAAAAATAGAAAGAAATTGGCCAAACAACTAAAAATATATAGAAAAAAATTAGCCGGGCATGGTGGCGCATGCCTGTAGTCCCAGCTACTCGGGAGGCTGAGGCAGGAGGATCGCTTGAGCCCAGGAGTTTGAGGTTGCTGTGAGCTAGGATGACGCCATGGCACTCTAGCCCAGGCAAGAGAGTGAGACTCTGTCTAAAAAAGAAAAAAAAAATGAAAGGATCCCATCATTAAGAAATTGCAAGAGCTGGATTTTTAAAATGACAGATAACAAAAAACCTGTGGCAAACTCCAGTGAACATGGCCATTGAGGTGATTAAAATACAACGAGATTACTTGGCAAGGGCATACGTGCTTGATGAAATGAATACTTTTTAAATAAGAATAAATAAGGAAGCAAAGAAACATGGCGCGTTTGAGTTTGGGACGATCCAATGTTCTCAAGCTACTTATGCATCGAAGGTAAAGTTAACTATTGCAATGATGGTGAATGTCTCTGTGGGACGTATATTTTTTTTCTTTTTAAAAGTGGCAAATGATTTTATAGCTCTTTTGAAAGGACTTTGGGGCCAAGAGAATGTAGAAAATTTGGAGACCCAAAACGTATTCAGTAAGTGTGTGGCTGCTCTTGTTACAAAGTTATAATTGTTACAGCGAAGATGGAACTGTGCCATTAAGCTAAGGCGGTTAAAATATTTCACGCATATCTAGAAGAATAGAATGGATTAGAAAAGTCTCAGACACATACATGTGAAAGGGGCAGGCAGCCTTGCAGAAATAACCGGAAAATCGCTAATTCTACAGTCTTCCCGGTCACGGTTAAAGATCACTCCCGTGAGTTCTCTCGCTGGCGGGCACCCTGCGGAAGTTCCGTTCTGCACAACTTCTGAAAGGAGCTGAATGCACGGAAAAGACACGTAAACCGCTCTCTTCCCAAAGTGTTGTGTGAGAATCTGCTTTTACAGGGTTCCTGGGTCAACAGCAGGAGAAGAAGCTCCAGCCTCAATCATATCTCGAGAGCAGAGTCACAGGTCCTGCCATAATCCCTTCTCCAAGGAACAGCAGGAAACCAGCTCTTGCATTTTCACATCCTGCTGCCGCTTGTGTTATCAACTGACACCATCGCTATTTTATTTCTCACTTCTTCTCCCCTAAAATCAGCAAGCCACTGGCTCGCCCCACCAGTGTGTGGGTGCAGGTGTGTGCATGTATGTGTGTGTGATGCTAGAAGCTGCTCTTCACGTCTTGGGGAAAAGAAAGAAGGAAATAAAACAATTTCATACATGGCACTGAAACCACAAGTTAACGACGCCCTTTCCAAATCGTAAGAAGATTGACAGGTGACCTCAGAAGGGATGTTGCTGGAACGAGGGAGACACACATTGCCAAGAACTAAGTTTTAAAAGCTGGTGTGAAAAATGAATGATGTGAAGATGTAGAGAGAGGTGACCACGGAAGCCGGATGTCACGCCCACCCCCAGCTTCTGGGGCCCTGTGCTTTGATGCCACCAGGGGACTCTTTCCCAAAGGGTGCTAGGACGGAGGGACCCCACTCACTGTCCCGTTGGTGCCAGCGGGCAGCGTGCAGAGCTGTCTCGCAGTAGTGCAGCAGGAACTCGTGGTCCGAGTGCTGGGCTGTCCCCAGCAGCAAGGGCAGCAGGTCCCAGCCGTCGATCACTCTGCAGAAAGGCGCAGGAGGGACTCAGGGATGTGGGGACGTTCTGTCCCTACAGCAGTGACCAACCCAGGGCCGAGGTCCTGCATTCCCCTTGCATCGTATCATGGAAGGAAGGGCGGAGTCAGAACATGGAGGAGATAGAAGGCGTGAGCGAGCCTTAGCAAGCACGCAATACCGCCCGCATTATTCACGGACAAATACCACCCTTGGCTAAAAGGATTACCTGGGGAACCAGCTTGTTTGGCCTTGGTGAGTGTCCACTGAGCCTTATTATGAATGCAAAAATGAGACAAACATTTGTCCAAACGCCTTTGTGTTTTTACATAGTGTCGGGCTTTCAGTTGCTATAGAATATGTTGTATTCTTCAACAAAGCTTCGCACTAGTTCTGTTCCTGGAGAGTTCCTGGACTAGCATTTCCTCCTTTCTGTAGCCTGCCCTTTCTTCCTTTTAAAATACTGCTCATTGTGCAAAGCCCGGCTCTATCTTCTCGGCATTGCAGTTTCCCTTCGGCTCCCTTGTTAGCACGGAGGTTGAATCCACCTGTGGATTTGCAGGGATAACCGTGCAGTTTGCTTTCCAATTACAGGATCAGTTGCTATGGGATGGGAAATATATATACCTGTGTCTCTTTTCCCCTTGTCCACTCTGGGCTATCTATAGAGCAAACACCTGCTAATAAATAATATGCTGATTGAATCGGAGCACTCATTTTCCACACGGGTGAAGGTGATGAAGTTTTCCTTTAAGTGGAAAATTTGCAGTGACCTTATTTAATTTCTCTTAAATTATTTTGAAAACTTTGCAGGGTCTTGCATCTCAAATTAAAAAAAGTAATACACCGATGGTATATTTTTATAGACGCCATGAACTTAGAATAGCAATAAATTGAGGATTTTTAAAAAAACAGGGTTAAGGTTCTCAACCCAGGTAGAAAATTCAGAACCTCAAATAGATTGTGCTTGGTCAAAGTTACCGTGAAAAAAATGAAATAAAAGACAAAATATATATAATCATATATGCACACACATACATATGTATATGTGTGTCTAGATAATAATATAACCAACCAATAATGTATATCTAAATCTATTTTACCTTCTAGTGAAATGCATTTGCAATATATATGGTACACAAAAATTTTCTTTTTAAACACAGGACACGTTATAAATTTAAAAATATATATCAATAGCCTATTAGAAAAAAATCAAACAGGACATGTAATTCAATGTAAAAAAAAGAGAAAACGAGAGAAATGTAGAATGTATAAAAATTTTAAAATTGAGAATGATAAAGCAATGAAAATTATAACACATACATGTGTATACCTAAAAATTATATAACATGCATAATAAACCTATATATATATACTCATGTCTATAAGTATAAATTATGTATACAGAAATAGTTTTAAATGACTTTAGGTCTATTATTTTTAATATGGACACTATCACTTATGGCTGGTAGCAATTTCTAGGATACAATTTGACAAAATACGTCAAGAGATTTGCCTATAAGTGGTCATATTATTGACCCAGAAATTCAACTTCTAGAAATTTCTACTAAGGACGTAATTTTAATAGGCACTAAAATGCTAACATGGTGTTTTTTTTAAGCAGGGCTAATGGGCCACCTATAAGGGGGTAGAAGAAAGAAAACAAAATTTGCAGCTATTACAATTTAAATATATGTTCTTCCCTAAGCTCTCAAGATTATGAAAAAAAATTATTTTCTTTATATTTCCTCCCAAATAATTTTTTATGTTTTTTAAGACAAGAGAAATTGGAATCCTATAAATGTCCCCGCCACACTGAACCAAAAGTAATTTCTTGTGAATCTTGCATTGTTAGATTTTTCAGTGACAGTCACCCTTATAATAAAATGTGCTCCACTTAAGAATTAGGAAAAGGGAAATAGATATTCTGCATATAAAACAAAACCAACATTTGATGCCAGCATTAAATAATAGAGCCGGGAGTGTTTCCCAGATACCGATTTCATGGATGTTTTATGACAATGCAAAGGTGACTATATCATTTCCCGTAAATGCTGGCTTCTCTACCCAGAATTGAATGGCTTCTTTTGGGTGGTTCCGTACCTGTCCTGGGGCACCTGGCCGCCCCCCAGCTGCACCACGGTGGGGAACACGTCCATCAGGCTGGTGGGCTCGGCGACGACCCGGCCGGCCGGCAGCACCCCGGGCCAGCGGAATATCCCCGGCACGCGGATCCCGCCTTCCCAGCCGCCCATGCCTTTGCCGCCTGCGTTTCAACAGAAATGGAAAAAGGAAAAAGATTAAAAATCACAAGGAGATGCCTACTCTGGTCGATTCAGCCTTATTTCGCTTCTTTTAAGTTTCTCTCTGTTTTAATCAAATTATAACACACTATCGTTCCCCCTTGCAGAGGATAGATTTTATATTCTTTTATTAACCTGGGTGTTGGTTAGGGTGCATTGGATTGGGTGAGCCCTTCATCCCAAATGACTGGTGTGCTTATGAGAAAAGGAGACACAGACGCAGAGGAGAAGCCACGTGGAGACGGAGGCAGAGACTGGAGTGACGCGGCCACAAGCCCAGGGACGCCTGGAGCCCCCAGGAGCTGGAAGAGGCAGGATATTTTCGGGGGGCTCTTATTGTTTCTACCACAATGATCATTGGAGTTCTTGTGATTTCTGTGACATTGCTTTGACAGCTCCAAATCCTCGCCCTGGCTTCTTCCGGGGTATGTATATACGTCACCTCTCTCGGATGTGCAGTGTGTTTTGCAATAGCTGTGGGACGAGGGACCGTCGGGAAGTAGCTGTACCTGCCCGTGTGCATTGACACTTGCAGAATGGCGGGCTCAGGGACATCGAGGGAAAACCCCTTTAGAGAATAATGTAGTATGTTTAAAAGAGGCTGTGCCACTAGCATTGTACGTGGCACACGAAGATGTCGGGTGGAGAGTACATCAACGCAGACGGCACTTAGATTGTGCAGGGATCAGACCCTCGACAGGAAGAAGTTCTTGGGAGGCATTAGCTGATTTAATTTGCATGCATATATTCCCTTTCATGTATGAACTAGACGGGTGCTTCGTAGGCATGCTTGCCAACATTAGTCTAAACAACTCTTTCACCGAATAAAAAACAAAGCTTTCCAAGTTAAAAAAAAAAAAGCCACAACGATGTTAAGCTATGTATATGGAACAGCACGTTTTAGAATCTTTGTGGTGCATGACATAATGGTGTGTCTACCGTTCTAGAACCCTAGTTTGAATGTGACGTGGCCGCCCTTCTCGGATGCATTGCATAAATGTAAAATTGAAACCTGAGTCTATCAGCAAATAACTATATAAACAAAGTCTGATTTATACACACAAGGAGACAGTGTTCAGCAATAGAAATGAAGGAAGCATCGATACCAGCTACAGTGTGGACGAACCTCAAAAACATCGTGCTAAGGAAAAAGCCACGCAGAAAAGACCATGTAGTGCATGGTGCCCTTGGCATGAAGTGTGTTTACAGAGATGGAAAATACATGGGTGGCTGAGCGGAGTTGGGCACAGTGAAATGAGGAGGGACTTCTATGAGTATAAGATTTCCTTGAGTGGTGACAAAAATGTCACAAAATTAAATAGTGGTGACAGCCGTACACCTTTGAGAGTCTACTAAAAACACTTAATGGTGCAAAAAAAAAATATATCAAACCTGAGTGTGGCAAATTATAATTTTTTGCCTGGATAGACAACACCAAAGTGTTTGGGCAGCAGTATTTACTGTCTGTCCTGGGGTGGATGGCCCCATTCCAAAGGAATGGGTGGAAATTGTCGGGAGGAGATGAAGTCCTGAGACAAGGACACGGGAATTTTTCAGTCTTACCTTTGTATATCCCGTTCCAGCCACCGTACTGGTGGTTTCCGTGTTGAGACTCTAAGGACCCCCCGTTGTCTGACGTGAAATAAACAAGGGTGTTGTTGGTCAAACCTTCCTTGTCCAACGTGTCGAGGATCTGTCCTGCAAAGCACAGGTGTGTTTGAGGTGGTCAGATTAGAACGTCTTAAACCCAACTATTCGGTGTATGGTTTCCTCAGGGTTTCAGGCAAACAACCAGGATGGAAGGTGCATTGCACAAAACAGCAAAACTTAAAAGTGAGGCAAACCGAGAGTGCAGAGAAGGAAGGAGAGATTGAAAAGGCCATCCCAGATGCCAGTGACAAAGACCTGTTGTGACCAGCAGTGACTCTGAGTGTCTTAGAGCTACACGAAAGGGGATTCTGTCATTTATGTAATTCACAGTGCCCTAGAGATTTTTTTAAAAATTAGTTGAGTAGGATTATATGATTTTTATATCTAACAACAGACAAAGCTTTCTCCCGCTGTGCCTGTTAATGAGGACCGAGTGTCATGACAGTCCTGTGGCCTCACATGTATCCCTTTCTCGGATGCTTTGACTTGGAAGTCACTTGTGTCATCATATTAAAGTTTAATTTTTTGGTTGAGTCTTCCTTTTTTGTGGATGAAAAGCAGAGTTTGTCTGTTGTTAGAAATAAAAATATTCTGTCTACCACGTGGGATTAGGACGTGGACATCTCTGGGAACATTATTCTGTCTACCACATGGGACCAGGACGTGGACATATCTGGGGACGTTATTCTGTCTACCACATGGGACTAGGACGTGGACATCTCTGGGGACGTTATTCTGTCTACCACATGGGATTAGGACGTGGACATCTCTGGGGACGTTATTCTGTCT